AAACGTCACGATGTTTGATGATTTTTTGTGTTTGGTGGCCAGCCACAAAGTAGTTGTAAAATGTGGTAAATACTTCCGCTAGCTAGACATTTGCCACGTATTTGGATTAAATATGGTGAACTGAAATACATTCGCATGCTTTGGCACAAGTTAAGCCTCTCTGACTCCCTCAAATTCCCTGGAAGATAACATTCAACCCTTTTGATCCACCTGTTACTTGCTTTGTGGGGAAAGCAGCCCCCCAAAAAAATGTTTGAAGGTTTATCTCCTTTTCCTGGATCACTGGCACGTTGGAACGCTTCGATCGCGAAACGGACCACGCCTCGACACAAACGCCCGAAGGCAGCATGGTCGCGGTCCAGGCGCGGTGCCGGAGCCAAGGTGAGGATGTAGCCTTCAGGCCGACGAGCAAAGCTGGAAACCAAAAACATATTTAGGTGCAGTGAACGACCTGGAATCAGAATGGGCATGCGGCATGGAACATGGAACATCAGAATGGTCGTTGGTGACCTCCCAGGTGTTGAATGGCATAGACAGGATATAGCATGTGCAATATACACATATATGCATGTATGTTATATTGTAGCCATATATTGTAGATATGGGCTGCCACGCTGTCCCGAAGAGATGTACAACAAAATCCAATAACATGGGGAATGACTGTGGATTGGAGTGGTGTGCCACGGACGTGCTGGCAAGCTGCATGCAAGGGAGACTGGCAGACTGGCAAGAGGTTGAGCAATTTACATCCCAACCCGACAAAAGTTGAAGCTGACTTGATGCTAGCCTATGCATCCAGAGGTGGATTCCGGGATGGACTGTTGGTTGGCACGGGATGAGTTTCAACGACTGGCTTGGCTGGAGAAACTGGAGGAAGGAGTCAGGCCTTCATGGGCGAGTGCCCCCATCAACTCCAGCTCCAATGAAATGGAGGCTTTCTCTCGAGTGACCAATCTGGCCACCTGGTCATCCCCTATCCCATACACTCCATGTATTCCATATATGCCTACATTGACCCCTCAAACCACCCCAATGTAGGCATATATGGCAGTCCCCATGGAGTGTCTGGGTATTGAAGAAATCGGACTGCCATCAAGAACTCGAAAACGTGTCGGCAGGTCAACCACCTATGAGCCACGCATCTGGACGTCGAAGTGCTAGCACATGTCTGCTAGTCACTAGTCCGAAACCTAGAGTCCAAACCAACCAAAAGTACAAACTCATCAAAATCATAAACCTTTAGTCATCTTCCAGCATCTAGCCCCTACACCTGACCTATGCCACCAAAAAGATTGTGCCTAAATATCACCGTTGCTACCGACTGCGAAAATAGAACCCCAGCCCCGCCTGCGAAATCGTTCTTCCGGGACACGGTGAGCATTCCGGGCTCCGTGTGCCCGAGCCCCACACCAGTCTCCGCCTCCGGATCGCCTGGGGCGACCGAAGCCGAACTCGTCCGAACCCCGTCGTGCTGCAGTTCTCGCAACGCAGGACGGTCCGATCCTCCATCCCTTCGGGCGGACGCGCGCCCGTCTCCCACGCCGAAGGGGCCCAAATCGCCGCCGCCCAGCACCGCCATCAGCGCGGAGACGGGCGCGAAGCGCCGGTCGCGGAGGCGGCCGGCCGCGCAGTCCTCGAGGAGGCGGCGAGTGGCCTTGGGCGCGGCCTGGCGAGGGCCATGAAGGAGCCAGAATCGAGGAGTAGCCGGCCGGGCCTAAGCCAGACACGATCTGGGATTGGGACGTTGACAAATTGGGGTGGTTGAAAAGGGTATCAAAGGGAAGAAATATGTTCATACTTGGAGTGTTGGGGCTATAACATCATGGGAGAAAATGGGAGAAAGAGTTGCCTGGCTTCCCCAAGGTCGAAGAAACCCTCAAAAGGTTAAAAGGTCGCTGATGAACTGGAGTATTCTCGTCCTGATGAACGCAGCTGCGTCTGCTGCACCCACTCTTTTGCCAAGCTGGATCAGGGCCCACAAGGGGTGGTTCATGAAAACCCTTTGATACCGGGGCCATTGGCCTGGTAATTAGACACCCAAGCGCGGGGGGGGGATGGAGGGTGTCGACTGCCTCCCATGTCCTCTCACCTACCTCTGCCAATGGCACCTCTTTGGGGAAATTCCAAACGTGTCGCCACCCATCCTCGGGTGGGTGTTTCCCCCGCAGATCGTGCCTCAGGGTCCAACTCGAACTCCAGTGCTTCCTGATAGTCCTGGGTCCAACATGAGCTCCAATAGCTAGTGCATCGCAGCTAGTGGGCATCGCTACTAGTAGCTAGCAGCTATAGAAGCTATACTAAACGTAGCTTCTTGTTACTAGCAGTAATGCCGTTACACGAGAGCTCCAAAACCACAGCGAGGCCCGGAAAGCCGGTCCCTGGGCGAAGCCCAGCCGGTCGGTAGCTTGGCGAATCTGGCGTGGTTCGGGTTGCAATTCTGGGAGTGATCCACTGCAATGATCCCTCCAGTGTATATACATACACACTGTATATAGCAATATTGAAAAACATATAAATAAATAGAGAGAGAGATACTGAAAAAAATAATATATACATGAAAAAGAGAAAGAGAGAGAGAGAGAGAGATGGCTCTCATTCACATCAACCAGCTGTAGATTCATCCCTCCAGCTTTTTGAAGGTCACTTCCGTTTCACGCTCTGCAATCCAGGCTCCACACCAAAGAAGGCACCGCGGAAAATAGCGATCCTCAGATGCAGTGTCATCCCTATACTGAAGATCTCATGATCGCGTGTGAGACGGGTGTCCACATGTTTTAGGGTCAGAATGCCAATTCAGGGTAACGTTGCGGAGACAGAAGCAACATGAATTGAATGAATAGAATGACCAGGAGTGACAGGGTTGCCGCGCTCTTGCTAAGAGGGGGTGGCTCTTAATCAGTGATGGGCAACATATGACAACATCCTGCAACAGGGATACGCTCAAGCATAATAATACAAAGTGCCATCCCGGTCCTAGTCTCGCTTGATTGCCTTAAACCCCGCATCATCTGGTCGCTGTAAGGATGGTGAAACGACCTTCAGCCCCTTAGGCTGGAAGGATGAACCCAATCGCGCTAACTTGGCCCATCAAGCTGCAAGCTAATATCAGGCGCTGAAAATCTAAGATCTTCTCAAACATCATGCTCTCACAGAGTTTCTCAAAACCCAACTTTCTTCCTTATTTATGTATACTGTTATACTGTATATCTTCCCTTCAGTCTTTCTTTCTGTATTGTTTCTTTCTGTCTTGTGTATTTTATCTGCTTTCTTTCTTTCTGTCTGTCTGTCTGTCTTTCTTTTGTATGTTCTTTCTTTTTTGCTCTCTCTGTCTCTCTCTCTCTCTCTCTTTTTCTGTGTGTCTCTCGCTACCGCGTCATCCACAAGATTAGCCATATGTGTATTTCCGACCCTTTCTTTCGAGAAAGAACATGAGAAGCTTAGCAAGGTTCAGCAATGTGGTAGCTGCTAGCTGCTCAACCAGGATTTCCTCTTTGGGGACCCCTCCTCAATCCAGGCATTCTGGTGGACAGATCCATCCAAATTCCATCGAGGATCTCCAAATAGATCCTGCACAATCAGTTCCAATCTCACCAAAGCAGGTTGCCTCCCAGTGGCCTCCCCTAAGAAACTGATGATATATTGTCCGAAACTAGCCCCACCAGCACTTAAAGGAACACCTGACCAAAAGCCTTGCAAACTATGGCTGTGGGCTGGTTGAAAATGAACCAGGGGCCAGGGCCCATAAATATTTGGATGCACACGATCCTAAGAATCCGGTCGTTGGTGGATCAACACCTCGACTCTAGATATGCCTCATGGACTCTTTTGGCAAACAACCAAGTAGGAGGAACTCCCACACCCTACAAATGGCCTGTCCTGGGTTTTCCACTGCTGGCGCTCTGCTTTGGCAGCAAGCGGCTGACGCTGACACCTTCTGTGTCCCAGTCGTTCTTCTTGTCTTCGCTTGGCTTTGGCTCCTGACCACCGGCCGAGTCGCAGATGATCCAGGGGTTCAACCATGATGGCCACTGTTTTGGCTTTGTTTGGTTGTTGAGTCGATTTGTGGGTTTAGCCCTTGCAACCAAATGAAATCATGGAGTTGAACACCGCCTATGGATGGCAGACTTGCTTGTCACTGGTGCATTCGATACCGTGGGTATCTCAGTGATTTGAAGACTCATCGAATTGTGATTAACAGGCAACAGGCAAGACTGCGCGGAAAGCTTTGTCAAACCATCTCAAACCCAAAGTAAATAGGCCAGTGCCACTGATAGTTACATGATAGTTACATGTCTGTTGAATCCTGGGACCCCCAAAAGCTACTTGAACAAACAGCACGGTTACCATGTTAGCTCATCCAAGCACTGAATCCATCACCCCCGGCCCCGTCGTCCTCGGCAGTGCGCGCCGGAAGCGCCGCGCGCTGCTTGGCCGAGGCCTTTGCCCGGCGGCCAAAGACCACCGCCATGGCGCCACGGGGGCGGTGGGGGGGAACCCTAAGGAAGGTGAGAATCTCCTGGTGGGATAGACTCAGATAGATAGATAGATAGATAGGATAGGATAGGATAGGATAGGATAGATAAATAGATAAATAGATAGATAATGATAGATAGATAGATAGATAGATAGATAGAGACTCCAAGAGATTGCTCTTTTCCAAAAGCTTGGGAAGTTGGCAAGTTGCGGGTGAGTTTGTCCCACTGATAGATACTGGCAGCTGCCGTGAAGAAGGGACACATGAAAGGGGCAATTGTCTGAATCATGCAGCTGAACTACTCAGTTGCCCCATTGAAGTTCTCCAAGTTCTTTGCGTTGATGCCGTGCTAGGACCAATGCAATCAACCAAGCGTGCTCAACACGTCCAATGCCACGTGTGCTCTGAAAGATTTCTCTGAGCCACTGCTGGCTGCCAAGTTCTTGGCCTTTCAGGAGCATTCTATTAGCTGATGTGAATGAGCATGCTCAGAGCCGCTGTGACAGCGCATCTCTCCAATGAAATTTCAACTCGGAGGACCATTTTGCACGGGTGCTACCACCACAAAGATCTTGTCGTGGATCATTGCCAAGAACAAGCAGCCACAGACTGTACAACGGCCGGGGCAATGATTTGGAGATATCAAGGAAACACAGAGGGTCAGGTTAGCCTTAGCTCGCAATGAATTCCCAATCCCCGCCCGGTTGTGGCACGGGGACAGGCATGCAACAGCAACATCCAAAAACAGAACGGCACTGCTGGCTTCCGTGTGACCAATGGCCTACTTGCCTTTGATTCCGCTATCCCCAACACTCCAAGGAATACATACATACATACATACATACATTACATTACATTACATTACATTACATTACATTACATTACATTACATTACATTACATTACATTACATTACATTACATTACATTACATTACTTACATACATACATACATACATACATACATACATACATACATACACACACAGCACCCACATGAACACCTGAAACCATCCCAGTGGTGCGCGGACTCCATCCGTCAGTGTTCAGTCGACTGAACCGGAGACTCTGACGTCGACGGCCCAGGCATGTCCCAAGCCATGCCTGGGAGGTCGTGAGATTCTTGGATTGATCTTCGTGAGACGTGATTGGTGGAATTGAACCAGTTGATTTCCAATGTGCAATGCATCTGGGAATGACATGTCTTTTTTGTGTCGTCCGGCTGCAGCCAAACTGTCCATGATTGGTTGGACATGTCCAGATGATGGATATGTTCATACACTTATATACACCCTAGGGCTCCAACCACCTCCTCAGAAGATGGTTGGGGTGGGTTTAGAAGAGGGTTTAAGCAAGTACTTTCTGAGGATGTGGCTGGAGTTGGGGAAATGGTGCCATAGCCTGATGTTGCCAACAAAGGTGAGCCCCAGCAACCGCAGTGAGCCTCTACTGCGATTACCGCATCGCCCCGGTGGAGTGAAGTTTGAGGTGAAGCACCCCATCTTCCTTGCCAAGCATCCAGCAGTGACACCACCTGCCCATGGTGCAGAGTGGAAGGAGGACACAAACGATCAGCGCTCACTCCATGTACCAGAACGAGTCCCCTGACACTGGAAGGGGAAGAACACCAAAATAAGGAAAACAAATGATCCTAGAATAACGCACCAAAATACACCAAGACTGCACTCCACCCTCCCTCCACCTGCCGCGCCGGTCGCGTCTGCGTCCGGCACGTCGGCACCGCGTTCCAGCTCCGCCGCTTTGGGTGTGTCCGCCAGCTGCGGGGACGCTGCGAGGACGCGCGGCCGTACCGAGGCATTGAGCAAGGCGCTGGGCGGCTGCTGATGCACCGTGGAGGCCATGATGAGACCTGTAGAAGCGGAGTGCAGGAGGGACCGAAGGGGGTGTGAAGCGGAGCGAAGCGAAGCGCCAAGCGGCTGGGTATTTGGGTTTTGCGCCGGGGCCATGATCATATAGGGGTGGAACAGTGCGTGAGGGTGGCCACATGAGGTGGAGCATGGCCTCGCTTCTGTCTGCGGAGTGCATGACTTGAAGAATGAGTGACCATCAAACAAAGCAAAATCAGCCTCGGATGGTCTACCAAATGCCCTGAAGTGAAAACCATGGCTTGACCATCCACAATCAATTGTTTTGGGTGGGTGCTGGACCATGTTTCTTGTGCATCACTCCGTCCAAGGAGCTCGAACCCCTCGGCGAAACGTCCAAGGAGCTTGATCGTTCCACCTTCTCGATGGGGTTCACGTTCTCCTGCCACGGCTGGGTTCGCCGCTTCCCCTAGGTGTTTTTGATTGGTCTATAGCACCGATATACGGCATATCCATATCTGAGATGCTGCTAACCAAGGCCGATACTGGGGACACAGAACTACCTTAGAGGCTAGAGGGTCATGTCCCATGTTCTAGAGTACTTCAAGTCGGGTCCAGGTACATACAAGTGCTGCTTCTATCTCCAAAACGGGGACTTGTAGTGTAGGAGGAAGAAACACACAAACCAACAAACAGCCCCCACTTCATCTCAAACCACGTTCAGCTATATTACAGTAAACGGTAAACGGATAAAATTTGGCAACGACATAAGAACACGTTGTGGGTCCTTGTAACGCTGTTCAGTATGCTTATTGCTGAGTTAGGGTAACTATGCCTATAATGCACCCCAAAAGGGGCCAAAAACAGATTCCTGTTGGTCTTCCGGGAAGACTATCAAATATTCTGATTCCACCCTCACCTGGATCACGGTCTCGGTGACTGTTTGGTCGAAGCAATGGGTCGCCGCCACCACGATGTGCATCTCTGCGTGGCCTCAGGCAATGCAAAGGAGGATTGGAGGATGGATCCTACCACAATGGGAACTGCATGTTCCAAGAGCTCGTCAGAGTGTGCAGGGAAGCCTATCATCTTCCAAGTTGAAGCCTTCAATCCATAGATGTTTCTCTAGACAGGGGCCCTTTTCCATGTCTATCAGTCTATCTATGTTGGTCACGGTCGCAAGGTTCACACCCAAGGCCCAAAGTGCTCATAGATAGGGTATATCATATTCCCATAAACCTGCAACAGCGGATGATGCTGGTATATCATAGGCCCTGCTGGTTAGTATAGTGATTCTTTGACTGTTAGAGGTCATGGTATACACCCTACTTGATATCTCTTTGATGCAGAGGCCAGTCACCCAGGCAGACCAACGTGCGACTCCGACTCCGACTACGGGCCAGGTCCACAGGTCAGGTCCGAAGGGCGAGTCCTGTTGGTCAAATCCTGTTGGGTTGACATCCCGATTCATAACCCCCCCGCCATTTGGATGCTTGATGCTCTGTGAAATACATCCAGAGTCTACATGGAGATCTGTTCATCTTCAGGTCCACCAAGGCGACGGGGCTTTTGCCCACCATCCCGCCATCCGCGCGGAACGGGCGGAATTCCGGCGGTCTACTCGGCTCGGCACCGATCCGCACGGGGGGGGGCCCACCGTTGGCGCCGAGGATCTCAAGGGGAGCGCCCCGGATTTGGTGATGGCATCCAACAGGTCGAAGGCGGCGTCCTTCATTCCTGATGCCGGCGGACGTGTCCGCCGTGTCCGGTTGGACCAAGCAAAACCGGATGAAATGGTTACAATATACTGTTTTCATTCATGATCAAACCCAGTGAAATGAGGTCCTTGACCTGCAGGCGTTCTGGAAAAACAAAAACAAAAAAGCCTCTCATAAGTCATTACACGCTCTATAGTCATGAATTGAACCACCTTGAGCAAAGTAATTGAAGAATACACTGACTCTTCAATTGTCTTCCATTGGAAGAGATTGAACATCTAACACTACGTGGCACACGTTCGATGCCCAAAGATGCCCAACAGGAAACCCATTAAAGTGACGACCTTCGACGGGTCCTCAAACTCGCTTCCTTTCGACTGTGAACCAACCAGTGAAGACCTGGAATTCGGAACCACCTGGCCTTAACCTCGAAACCTGTTTCACACCTGTGTATATGTATACGGTTGGATGATGGTTCACTTGCAGTCCGACATCTCTAATATATAGCTCGATGTTGTGAAACCCGACGGCTCGCCAGTTCGGACCCCGAACCGTGAACTCGGCCAAGAGCTGCGTTCGGACTTCCGCCCGAGGCTCGGTGCTGGGCCTCGGCCTCCAGGGACTCGGTCTGCCGTGCCGCGAGGAGTTTCGGTTGAGAGGACTTGGTCCTGGGCGGCGCCCACCGACGGAGCGTTTGGGTCGCACGCGTCGCGCGCCGGAGCGCGCGGACGCGAAGGTTTCAACAAAGCAGCGACCGAACGATGAACGCACCTCTTGGTGTTGTAAATCGTTGTGACGTAACGTGGAAACTCAAGAGATGATTTTGGCACTCCCTGCTGACAGAAGAGGGATTTTCTAAGTAGAAATCCTTCTTCGGTCAGCATGGAGTGGTCAGTGGCTTAGCATGGCCTGGCCAAAAAAGAGTGGCGAAAACACAATAACTAAGTCACTGTTGATCACTTCTGTGAGACAAAAGTGGGACAAGCTGAAAAAGCCGACTCTGAAGTCGCTCATCTTTCATTAGAGGGGTGACGAGGGGAACGACTACAGAATTCCTCTGATAGGAAGGTGTAGCAACAAAGGAACTGCCAAAGGAGTTCGAAAGGGGTGGAATTTAGACACAAAGTGACTGGAGAGCGGGGGCACCCCTTACCCTCCAATAAAGGCAGCAGTCAGCAGTCACCCCTTTCGCAACTGCTGGGATAACCATAGCCTCATAGCTCGGGGGCTCTAAAAGTTCTGAAAGCTCTTGACCTGCCATGGCCCACGGAAGGTGTAGGTCACTCGGGGGGTGTGAACAGATCAAAAAACGAATCCTTCTTCGTTGGCCAGCTCCAAGTGCTCCTTCCAAGGACTTTCTCCATCCTCCATCCCATGTATCGAATATTTGCCGACCTTCGTGTGGTTTAAGATGTTTGAAGGGCCAAGGGCCAAATGTTGGTGTAAATTGTATACATACAGGCCAACATAAACAGTTATAAGTAAATATAATTACATTGAAGGGCCAACATGTATCAATTGAAGGGCCAAATGTTGGCACAAACATGTACCAGGACCCTCCTGGCCAGGCTGTTTGGAGACCCCAACGAATGGGTGAACCTGGGCAGACTTGTCACCAGGAAGCACCTGTAGCGGCGGGTGCTGGTATAAATATGTTGAAGGGCATATACTTGGTCCCAAGGCCCCAAGGAGTGTTGAATTGACTTTCCTCCACTTGACCAGGTCCCCCCGAGGCTCCAAGAGCTTCCAGGCGTGATGATCGTGGGGCGCAAGGTGCTGTCCTCAGAGGCTGATCACGTGCTGTCCTCTAACAGGGCGGAACGAACATTACTCTGCCTGGCTTGGAAGAACACAGTTTTAAACATACTCTCTCAAGGCAAAATGTATGAATGAGAATTCTCCACCCACCCACCTGTCTTTGTTCTCACACTGTCAACAAGGTCTGAGGTGCCATTCAAGGCGTCCACTCTCGCTGAATTATCAGATAATTCAGGGAAGTATGAGGTATGTGAGCAGGAGTGTTCTTGTCATGAGCTGTCTTACAATCTTTTTGTCATTGTCAAGGGTTGGTGAAACGTTCAAAAGGATTCAGAAACCTCTCCTGTGTTTAATCAAACGGAATTAGACATTTGACTTGGTTGTGTGACTCAAGTGCAGTATATTGACTCAGGCGATCCTAACAAACATACCAAGTCGTGGAAACATATGCCACCAACACTACTTTCAATTTGTGGGAATGTTTGAGGCCGCCGTTGCGGCACGACTAGGGAGGAGCTTCGCCGCTCCTGGCGACATCAAGAAATTGACCGGAACAGTTCCCAGTGTCACACCCCCCAGTCCCCGTCCCATGGGTCGTACCTTCTCTCCATTGGAATAACAATATATTGGGTCTCCCTCAGCACTGGTGAGACCCTCAGGCTTCGCGAATCCCGTCACCATGCAAGGCTGTGCCCCACGCAAGCATCGCGCCACGGTGGAGACCGAGATGCTGGATCCAGCTTTTCGAACTGCTCGTCCATTTGCTTGGCGACACCTCGAGAGCTCGGCGGGGAGAGCTAAGCGTGGAAGCGGAGAACGCCTCGGATTCCCTGAATTTTAAAGAGGTTCACTTTTTTGTGACCTGTTCTTGTTTATAGTGGAAAGCACTCCCCTAAAGAGGGAGAAACTATATATATAAAGGTTCTTTTTGGCTTGGTCCATCTCAGAGCTGACCACTATATAGGGCGGAAGATGCAGCAGGGGCCGAGTAAGGTGTAGCACTTGTTGGATTACAGTTTTGGCTCGGACCGCCAGCAGAACAAACAGAACAGTAACATCCCCATTCAGTGGCGGGTGGTCTAGCCTCTTTGGGATTTGGATTCTCGGCTTTCCAGCCATCACTTGGCTTTTGAGTTGGGAATGCCTTCCCGGTGTTTGGAACTTGGCTCCAACCCCTTCCACCTACCAAGCCCGAGCGCCTCCACCTTCCTTCGCCACCGAGCCACGTGTGTAGTCTCGGGCCTTGACCAGCTTCTCCGCCGCCCCGCCGCTGCCCGTGCGTGGCGCGGTCGTCGGAGCCGTCTTGGCCCCGACCGGAGCGCCCGCGGTGGACGAGGCTGCGCCACCGTTGAAGTCTTCAGCTTCAGTCTGCATCTCCTCAGGTGGAGCAAGTGAAGCCAAGGGAGTGAAAGCCGAAGTCGTGACTTGCGACGACTTGGCTTTCACATGACGCGCTGATTTGGTTCTAGGACCGTCTCCACCAACCAAAAGCTCTTTGTGGGGGAGCAAAGCCCACCTAAACTGCACGGAGAAAGAAACTCTCGAAGAGTGGGTGGATTTGCGAGGAATTCCAGTGGCGGTTTCTCCGTTCTTGGAAGCAGTGCCCAGGCGGACCGAAATGGGTAATACATGATAGTCCCCTTCCTGGAACTAACATGGAAGTTGATGGCACTCTCTGCTTGGTATTCGGAACATGGTCTTCCTTACGCGGCCAATGTTCATCCTCAGTTCGGGAGCATGCTGCCAGTGAAAATATGTTGTACATGATTGTGTATACCTGCGGCTAAAGGTGGCCTTGGGGCTCTACATCGTCCAACAAGCCGGTGGCATGACGATTCAGAGGTGGCTATGGATACCCTGATCTCAGTGCAATTCACGACTGCATCAGGCTTAAACCTGCCACCCACCAAGGTTTCTGGAAACGTGATCTGACGATCCAGGAAATCTACAACCGGGTAATTAGTCCTCCCTGGAACTCACATGGAAGTGGATGGCAGTTGCCGAACGAGTAGCCACTGCAACGCAGTGGAACAGTGGAGTCATGCAAGAGTATACACCCTGGTGACCCGATGGTCACTCACCCAGCTGCTGGGATTGGATACCTTCGCAGGATTTGGTTGAATCAACCAATGGCTCTGCAGCTTCAATTTGGGTTTGGTCTTGGCAGGTCTCCTTTCTTGATATACGCCCTAATTATCCCTAATTGACTTCATGACATGCAGGACTTGCGTATAGTAGTGTGCGCTTGCAAAGGAAATCAGCCAGGACCCTCTTTCCAGTCTGTTTCCTGTGGATCCACATCCTGCACCGCGCCAAGCAGCGTCGGCTTCCCCTTCCTCCTTTTCCATGTCCTCATCCTGAAATGCTTTCACATGCACGAATCACATGTTTATATTTGTTCAACTGCCCCCAGCCAACGTGATTTGGAACAGCTTCTCCCCCGGTTTCCCGCATGCGAGTTTCTATCCTCACTTCCTGCCAAATATCCGCACCCTGCGCAGCTTCAGAACTCTGTTGTACAAAGCAAGTTTCAGGACCCAAAATCATTAGGACATCCATTTCCCATCCACTCCCCAAGAAGTAGAAACGCCTCAAGTCAAGACTCCTCAAAGAGAAGCAATCTTGATCTCCCGGTTCCCCCCAGAAAACGGAGAAAGAAAAACAAGTGGCAAATGGGGCCCTTGGAAGACTACTGCCCTCCACAAACAGGGGTGTGTTCCACTTCCATAGTGAGTTGGAGTGTACTTTCAATGGTAACCAGCTTCACATCCCCCCTTCCCTGAACCGGGGTGCCAAATTCTAGCGTTACACAGGCGCATCCATGGCCGAATGACGAAGGTTTTCGGTGCTTTCGTCTCTTTTTCCCAGGGTTCTTCCCCAACTCTTCCGTTGAGCCGCAAAGGAGCTCCAGTCGACTGACTCCCGAGACGCGACACACTTCACATGCCTCCTCACACTCGGACATCACTTCGTCATCGTAGAAGTCCTGGAAGGACTGAAAAGAAAGACGAGGGCCTAGGGAACACGCCCTGGAACTAAAAGTGGAAAACACATTCACAGTTCGGACCCCTAGAAGACAATTCTACTCGACGAGCGGGGAGTTTTCCACTATAGTCACTAGTGACTACTAGTGAGTGGAGGACATGATCGGAATATCTGCAGGTCCATCTTGGGATTTGTCATCCTGCAGTATAGATAGAATAAGGGGCAATCCAAGAACCGATGGGAAAAGGTGGTCATGTCTTTGGATGCTTTGTGGATTGGATCATATTCTATCTACTCCAGGACCCAGGATGGTTGTACATCAGCAGCAATGCTCTTAGTATCCATCACTCGAGGCCGGAGTGGTGTTTTGCGCAGGTCTCACATATCTAAGAACTACCACCAGAAGTATCAAGCCCCTGAACCAAGAAAGCAACTCCGGTGGCCACAGCGCACCTGGAAGTCTTCCATTGATTTTACCGGAGCGGCCGGCCGCGGCGCCGCAGCAAACGCTCCAAGCCGAGGTCCAGGTGTTCTCAAACCTTCTGAAATTGGTGTTGCTCCCTTTGGCGCCCTGCTTTGAGGCCTTCTGGCCCTGGGGCCTTGTGACCCAGCAAAAAGCGGGTCAGCCATATCACTTGAACATCCCCCCTTCCGCGCGCATTCCGCCCATCTTCCTCGGCGTCGTCCGCAGCCTCCGCCTGCTGAGGGGCGTCGTGCATCTGAGATCATCTGGGTATGCATGGAATCTGTACCTACAAGGAATTTAGGAGGTAGACTCCAAAGACTCCAATGTGGGTAATTTTATGCAATACATGGGGTGTAAGGGATCATGCACAGGAATGTATCATGGATACATACAAGAGTGGTAAAAGTATACTGAGTTCCCCTTGCTGTCACTTGAATATACTTACAGAATCCCAATAATCTACCACAGTGCGTCGAGGTGCCATCCGTGATTTGCAGACCCGGAAACAGCCATAACACACCACACACATTTTCTGGATCTGTCTCCCCTACTTTGCTGCTTCCCCCTATTTTACCCAAAACAACTGACACACCAACTGTTCTCTCCACCTCCACCTCCATCCATTCATCACCCTACCTCTCTCTATCTCCACTCAAAAAGAAATGCCTCGCGCCTTGACACGGCAGACCTTCTTCGAACTCCGTCCCACCATTTTGTTCATCATCGCGCCAAAGCCGCCCAGCAACGACCTCTTCGGCGGGGGATCACTTGGTGTCGCGTGTTTCTCTCGTTTTTTGTGTGGAAGACGGAGGATCCATGGAAGACTGTCGCTACATGTCGATGCTGTCGCTAGGGATGAATAGAAGTGTAAGAGGTCTATCCCATTGCCGAGGTCCGGATGATGGGGACTGGTTGCAGGCCTTTCCATCTCTAAAATCGTGGATGTTCTTGTGAAACCCGACGGCTCGACAGTTACATGTCGTAGCACAAACCAAATAACTATATTATATATATATATAATATAACTTGGATCCTGTTCTGAGGTGGTGTGCCAAAGGGATTCAAAAGCATTGGATTGGGAGCCTTGGCTCGGGTCAAAGAAGTTGCTTGCATGGCATCATGGTCTATCTTTGATTGCCAGCCCAGCCAGCGGTGGATGGGCAGCTCAACTTAGTTCAACTGTCAGTTCAACGTGTCAGGCCAGGCCAGGGAAACTCAGCATGTGCCCTGCGGTGCGATCGGTGGATGGATCAATCACGGCAAACCCTTGATACCTTGGAAGGTCTTTATGGCACCTGGGCGCCGGAAGAGCGGTGATGGCTGGAGATCTACCGGCTGTCCCGAACTGAAGGCCTAATCAATCAGATCCCGAAAACTCATCCAAAGCTGTGGATGGTCCACCTGTGGATGAATGCAATCCTGACCTGACGCAAGATCCAATCCAATCGTGAGCTGACAAGATCCAATCCAACCCTGACCTGACATCATCATCTCGAACCCAATCCTGATCTGACAAATCATAACAATCCATAGACAATCCCACATATACTTCCATTCCAAGCTTTCTATGCCGACCCTGGTGGAGGCCCACACCACCACACCATCCGCGGCCCACACCTCTTACTCTTCGGCACTGGCTCGATCATGGGCCGACCCATGACTTCCACATGTCGTGGGGGACGGCCTCGGGTGTTCAGGCGGAGTCACGGGATTTGAGGCGAAGCACGGGGTTTTTTCGGCGAAGCGAAGCCACACGACATCTTCCGGGGTGATGATCTCCCCACCCTACTCCGTGAACTTTGTACCATAAATGGTACCATATGAGACCCTCAAGCGACCCCACAAAGTCACCAACTTGCATCCAGCTTGTTCAGCGCCATGCGATGGTGTCACTGCTTCGAAGTGATGTTCATGGGTTTTTGGATGCCAGTTAGCCTTTTAAACCGCTTGTCATTGAAGTTGATAGGTTGCATCTGTTGATCTTCGGGTGGCTAAAGGAAAGCCGTCGCCGGGTTGGAAGCACACCACCAAAAACTAGATCATCCTTCCCTTAGATGTTAAAGGGTGTCCATTAACACCCCCTTTTGGGTCTTAGTCGTGGATAGTCTATATTAGCGACCCGCTGGATGATCCCGGTCACTCTGGTCCGGTCGCTCAGCTCCGGTCACGCGGGGACATGCAGGGATGGGGTTTGCGCCAGTGCAGTGCCCCCTACCATCGCTTGCAGAGTAATGAACCGCCCCAAGCTATTGGCCAAGTCACCCTTCTTCTGCTCCTGGCTGGGATGTTGCCCATGTTCGCCCATCATTGCCATGGAGGGAGTTCCTTTTTGTTGGGTAGATGGGCATCATCAGGAGGAGACACCCAAACTGGCACTGGCGGCGAAACGTTTCAAGACTCCAAACTCGAGCGAAGTATGGCCGCCAAGCTTGGAGCAATCTACACTCCCTGCCATCCCCGAAGCGCATCATGGTGAAGCGGACGGAAGCGGTGAAGCCCGGAAGTCATAGGTCCCGAGGTCCGAGGTGGGGCGCGGCAAAGAGAATACGGCAGTGTCGCTGTCCAATACAGTACGTACATTCGTGGGGATTCCACGCACCTCCTAATCGGTGAGACTGGGGGTCTATACTGGGGGTCTATACCTGGGCCCCCCGAAACTCGGGGGGTGTCTCATCAAATACTCTCCCTGCAACAAACATGGCAAGTGGAAAACCACCTGTTAGTGGAAAATGGTCTTCCAAGAAGCCATTCTCCACGTAACCATGTTACTTCGGAGTGTAGCTCCTTTGAGGTGATTTGGGGTGTCCATTCACCACCCCTGGCTCTGGGGGCCCTTGTGAGCTGTACACCTTTTGGAGGCCGTCGTCTGGACCCTCCAGGTGGGCTCAGCGGAGGCAGCGTTAACGCGTTCGCAGCGAGTGAAACGCGTTCGCAGCGTTGCGCTCGCGTGGTGGGTGCAGAGCTGCGACAAATGGGATTTGGGGGAGACTGACATCGCTGCTAACTGGGGGTGGACCTAAACCAAAACTACATAAAAGATCTCCAATTTAGCACACAAACCAGAGAATCCTTCTCCTTCTTCTTCAACTTCAGCTTTTCCCTCTCCTGGCAAGAAGTATGCGAGCCTATCCGGGCATGTTCAATCCATATGTAACATTTCACGATGACAAAGCAAAAAAAAAAGAGATAAGACTCAACGGCACTCTCTCCCAGTGCAACTGATGGATCGAACGGGTTGTGTCGCGGCGACCTCCCTACACCACCAAGGTCTACTTACGCCCACCAACCAGCCACACGTCTTGGGGATCTGAACAAAAATTGAACCACACTCCAGCTCCCAGTGCATAACATATGCATAACAGGTTAGCAGCTTTGGAGCCATGGCTGCCAGTGAAAGCTTACCGAGGGATTCTGAGCAAGTACAGTATGAAAATCCAAAAAATAGCACTTCATCAGCCTTCACAAGCTGATATCTATATTATATAAATATTTTTTGGCTTATACATATGTTTATCATGTACCAATCCAACAAGCATTATATCAGTTACACGTGAATCATCCATGTCCCTTTCACATCCCCTGAACTTCACACCCCTTCTTCAACCTACCTCCGGAGAAGGACTCACCGACTCAGACCTCTCCACGCTTCACAGATCGGTGAAGGACTCGCCTGCAACATCCGGAATTCCTCCTCTTGGATGCGTTCTTCGATGGATGCCTGCTTCCTGGAACATCACCCAACAAGGGGCGAGGTCTGGTCCAAAACGACCGGAAGCTGAGGACCAGCTGGGACAAGAAAGAACAAACCCTTGTGCAAAGGAACGCATCTCTTTCCAGGGAACATGTCTCGGATCTTTCCACGTCTGTGAGTCTCGGAATGGGTAGCACTGAGGATTCTCTGAGCTGAGGAAGTATGGACCGGATCGATTGGTTTTTCAACGATTGCTATCTTTAATGGACTGTGGCGGCTCGTGTGGGATCTTCACGAGCTGGACATGTATCAAGGGGCCAAGGGGATGTTTGGGAGAGATACACTCCGACGAACACACCACATGGAAGTGGACAATAGGCCTTTGGAAGACCGTTTTCCTTTGCAAACAGGTGGTTTTCTGGTTGTCCACTTCCAGGTTAGCAAGTCGGAGGGGAAGGGCCAAGTAAGGGGATGCTTTTGAGTGAAGAACGCATATTTTCGGGAGGCACTTGGCAACCCCGAAAAACTTGTCTTGGTGGAGATCAAGTACTTGGTCCACACACTCCACGCTTACGGAGAAAGAATACATGCCCGTCCTTCTCCCTCATGAAACCCTAGCCGGCCCTACCTTGTGAAACCCCTACGTGGGTCACGCCACCAAAATTGCCGACCTCAAACTGAAACTCCTCAAAAACTCGAAGTGATCTGAGAACCCCGGTTGTGGGGGCCTCGTTGATTTCATCATGGTGGAAGTAGTTCGAACGCACATGAACGCATGACTGCGGATGATCCTGAAATCCAAATACCAAGCAGGCCCTATAGGTGTTGTGTCCATTTCGCGGTGAGGAGTGTCTCATCCCCTCGAAAACGGAGCAGGAGGCCAATGCAAAGCCAGGAGGCTCTGCTTCGATCATCTGATTCATGGCCTGAGCAAAAGCAACATAGGTGGAGCATTCCCTTCAAAGACTGTTGCATTATGTTGCATTAAAGGATGGAGCCTTTGCTACGCCCTGGTACCACATACCTGGCCAAAAAAAAACAAACACTTCACAAGTGCAGCCTTTCACCAAACCATCCCAAGCCTCAACCCAAAAAGCAGCAAACATATAAAAAATCAAACGTCTCCCTGCCTCCACCTGCCCCTTCACCAGCTGCAGGCGCTTCTCCGCCGTGGCGCTCTCGCCAGGAAGGAGCAAATCATCCGAATACCTCCCATCCCAGCGTCAGTGGAGGCCCCATCCCATCGATGGAAAACACGATGAAGCGATATGAAGCGGATGGCACCTGGTGTGCATCCTATTTTTTGATGTGGCTCCAAACGAAGAACTCCATCCTCCACCACACTAACTCCACTCCATCAAAGTGGATGGCATGGACACGCTATAAGAGCCCGGTCCCCTACTTTCACTTGAAGTGAGTCGAAGGTAGCTAGCCACCCATGCAACAAGCAAATAAGGACAGGACAAGTTCTTCGACCGGGAAGCAAGCACCACAGGTTCATTGAGTCAAAGATCAAAGAGATGAGGTGAAAAGAGATCAAAGCTCAACAAAGCTTTCCCCGGCCCCTTTTTTGGGCCTTCTATTTGACTTATGGGAGGCCACTCCGTCTTCGCACCGGTATACCAGGTCCCCAGGTTTTCGACCTCCGCCGTCCTTCCGGCTGAATCCGTGACTTCGCACACCCGGCGGCTTCACCAAACCGGGCGAAGTCTTCCGTCTTCGGTGCGGAAGACTTCTCGTGCGGCCGAGCGCACGAGAGCAGGTCGCTGGGGATCTGGTACTTGATGAAAAGCCTTGGGTTTGGCCGTGACGTATCGTGATTGGGCGGGTTTGGCACTCTTTTTAAGGGCATTTTCTGCAGTTCAGATTGAAACACTGAAACACTCAACATCTCCTGAAGGTACATGGGTGAGTGCTTTCTCTTGTGATTCACAATATTCAAGGATCATAGCTTTCTTCACATCACCAGCCTAGCATCTTTGGTGGAAGTGCTCTAGTGTGGGAAATTGGTCACATTCGATTTGACATACTTGGACGGTGGCACGGCATGCTCTGTCGTAGGAGTTTCCTTACACACCACGGGGGCCACAACTGTGCCAATTTCTTTGAGAGTTTTGCTCTGGGCCTGTGATGGGCGCGACCCTCTCCATGAGGCACCAAGGCACTGCATCAAATCCTGGGTCAGTTTGATCTCCTCGGCCCATGGACTGGATGAAGGAACGCCCTTCAATGCCACTAGGTGGTAGACACACATCTTGAAGTGGTACCAGTAGCAAGTGCTTGAGATATCAGCATCCTAAAAGCCACGGCGTACCCTCAAAGAAGAGAGACAAAAAAAAAAGAACAAGCAAACACGGAACATGGACCCCTTCATTGGCTATGCTGGAGATGCAGCTGTCATCACATTGTCAGCACTTGTTTGCAGCCTTGAAATCACTTCACAAGCTTGGGGTGTTAATATACACTCATCCTACGTTGCTACGTAAGTCACTAGTCAACCACCCTGCTGCCCAGTCAGCTCCTGGTCAATGGTCAACATGTCTTTTGTGCTTTCTCATTAGTTCACCGCAGCGGCCACTACCGCAGCTTCCGTCCTTCATCAGTGCCTCCTCTGGTAGCTTCAGCAGCTGCTCGAGTTGGGGCTTGATCTGGATCACCTGAGGCTCTGACGATTCCACCCACGCTCGGAAGACTCCGCAGTGGCCTGGCGGCATCCTCGAAGCACCCAAACCAACCATCCATAGGACTCATGTTCTGCGCAAAGTCAGACGTTTGGCTATACTGTTTCCTACTGGCAATCCTGTTGGACTACCATTTCAGATCGGTCTCTATAGGCTTCCCCAACTGAATCATGCCAGACCGAACTCCAGGGAGACCGTGTCAGCCGCGCAACCGGCGCTCCTTCCACCAAGCTGCCACAATGCCGAACCTCGGATGCTTCGTCCCGAGCCGCCGCCGGAGGCGCAA